GTCCTTTCAGTGATCTCCTTCATAAATGGTATGATATTAATCTTAATGACTATGAACTTTTATTTCCAAAACAAGACGAGACAATAGAAACTAGTATTATTAACTTGGATCATGTTATGATTTGTATTGTGACAACAGAAAATAAGATTATTGGTATTTATCTTGAGTCTGAATTTACAAGTGAAGAAGAAATGAATGTATCGCTATTCAATCTCACATCAACAAGTTCATTTCCTTCTAACTCCACTTTCAAAGCAAAGGTAATAAGTCAGGGTAATTCACTTACTATTCAGAATGAACTTGAAATCAAAGGTAAGGAATTGAAGTTATTCACTCGAAGAAATGGAATTAATGAGACAAATACTATAGAAGCTATATCCATTCTTCGTTTCTCTTAATTTACTGATTTATTTTTGTGATTACGTTCTTCTTTTAAACCCTTTGTTCAGATAAACCAGTTGGTTCGTGTTAATATTCATAATTCTTTAATCCATTACGTTCATTTCGTTAAAAACTTCATTCTAATCTCTCTTATCCTTTTGTTTATCAGTTTCCTTGTGCATTATTATGAATGCATACAAATGTGGTTATTTGTTGAGACTTATTCTATATGAAGACAATCATAACTTAATTCTTATTGTCTCATAACTGACTCTAGACATCAAAAAGAGTGTCAGAACAATCAACGAAATGTTTTTATTTTATTTTGAAAAGATATTTAATGGTTTTGAGTTGTTTAATAACATAACTTTTTAAACGGTTCTTTGTGTTTAAATACTTTTAATTGAAAACACATACTAACAATAATTGGAAACTCTAAATTAATTTTATTTGCAATAACTTGCTTTAAACAATTATAATATAGAGGTATAAATGAATGCTTTTTAATGTGTTATAAAAACAAATTATTGATTTTCTCTTGTTATTTTATATTAAATTAGTATTTCTATCTTTAATTATCAATCAATTAATTCATTTTAAACTCAGTTCATTATTTTTGTTCTTTTGACTTAGCTAATCTTTCTTTAAATTTATTTACTTTCTTTGTTTGACGTCGTTCAAGCATTTCATTCTTCATAACAATTCTTCTGTCTTTACCACTTAAAACTGCCATCTTTCTTTTCTTTTCTTGTTCTGCTTTCTTAGCTTCTTTACTGACAGAAGGTGCTTTTGCCTTTCCTTTCTTCTCTTCTCCCATTTCTTCTACTAATCCATCAACAAAATCACTTTCAAGATCCTTTACTTGTATTTTCTTGCTTTCTTCTTCTTTCTTTTGTTCTTCTTCATAATCATATTTAGTATTATTCTTGATAGCATCTAATTGTTTTCTACGTTCTGTAATATATCCTTCTTCTTCTTCATTAACATAAGGAGATAAATGTGGTGGTAATTTTTGACCAATAGTATATTCTCCACATGGAAGAATAAAATTCTCATTAACACAATCAAAAATCCATTGGGGTTGAATAAATTCTCGTTCAATATTTTTATGTTCTCCTCGTTCTCCTATTTGATGAGTAATACTTTCATCATCAACATTATCCACTATAATTCCTCCTAACGTCTCAATAACAAATGCAACAGGATGTCTTGGTACTTCTCTTTGAATGTAAAAAACCAATCCTGAAAATAATCCACTTCCACTGCTCTGTACAAAATGACTTGTAACTTGAACAGATGCACCAGTGTCATGATTAACTAACATTTCAGTTGCAAGATTTTCTCCTTCTCCTTTTACTTGTTTCAATGCTTCATTTAATTCTTGAACATCTTGATCTTTACTAACAACTTCTGTTTCTTTTTGTAATTGAAGTGGTTCTAATTGAACTGTTCCAAGAAATTCTACTCCATTTATTTTAGTAATTTCTGGTGGATAATTAAGACCTGCATTTGTATATAATTTATAATTAATAAATTTCATTAAAACAACATAAAATGATAAAAATTCATGAAGAACATTAAAGTCAACAGTTTCATTCTTTTCAATAGCAAATTGATGTGGTACCATCCATGTTATAGCAATTCCATATACTACAGCAGTATAAAAATACCCTTTATAACTAATAAAACATTTTCTAAGTGCATTTGTATGTTTAATATATGCTTCCCATTCCATTGCAATTCTTCTTGCTAATCTTACTGCTTCAGCTTTTTCTCCTTTTGAAACTCTATATGATGCAAACATAAATACCATTGACAAACAATCTCCAAGTTCATTTAATGCATCTTGGAATGTTGGATATCGTTCTTGAATAGTTGATGCTAAATCAATAACTGGTTTAGTTTTAAGTAATTGTTCTTTAGTTTTAAATTCTTTTCGAGCTGTTAATTTTCTAATATGTTTTTTAAATGCACGAATTTGTTTAATTTTAAGTGTTACTTTATCATTAACTAATGGCTTAATATCGTCAATGTGGTAATACGTTTTCTTTTGTGTTAATGTATTTAGTCCTTTACTAGGTAATCTTGGTGACACTCCCTTTAAAATACATATCTTTCTGAACTGTTCCATTGTGCAATTCAATCGTTTAATGGCTTGTGTTCTTGTAATGTACTTTGATATTTTTGGTGCTTTCTCCTTTTTACCAGCAAATCTCTTTGATTGATGCTTACCGTGTCCTTTAACCATTTGATAAAATGTACGTTTCTTTTTTTTT